GACCAGGTCACGTGGTCCCGGGCGGGTGTGCCAGTGACCTACACATTACGCTGACTGGCTGACGGGTGCCAACCGTTAGCACGGTTCCCACTTCTAACAAAGGCGTGGGCACCTCCTGCCAGGCCCCGGCTCCCTGGGCGAGGCTTCAGCAGACAGGCCATCGACGGCCTGGGTTTGTGGCTAGCTCAGCCCGGCTTCCTGGGGGCGTGGGGCAAGCTCCTCTAGCTGGGCCTCGGTCCTGCCCAAGAGGCAGTGGAGAAAGCCCTGACTGAAATGCTCCTGGAGACCCTGGTCTCCTGGGGACCCTCCTCGCTTGCTGGAGATGGATGGGGAGGCACCTGGACCCTGGGGCCCACATACGGGCTGGCTCTCTGGGCCTGGCTGTGTGGCGGCAGCAAAGTACCCCTTCTTTGGGTCTCAGTTTTCCCCCCTGCAGAATTAAGGGACTGCACCCGAGGCCTCTTGCAGCACCTCCGTTTCTCTGATGGCTGGTCTGGCACCAGCTTTCACCCCAGGAGAACCTCTTCCTGGGGTCGGATGTGTCCTTCGGTGGGCGGGGTGGGGAGCAGAGTAAGTGCCACACGCCAAGCCCTGTGGTCCCAGGTTGTGTGATTGCCCCCATTCCTGAATCCACATGTTGACATTTTCCTGCGGCTGTGCGCATGTGTGTGTACATGTGTGTGCATGTACATGTGTGTGTGTGTGCATGTACGTGTGTGTGTGTACATGTGTTTAAAGGGGCAGCATTCCTGTTTGGAAACCCTTAGTGCCTGGGATTAAACAAACATTTTCTTGAGTCTCAGAGGCTGGTGCGGTGGTGGCAGGAGGCCTCACCGGGCCGCGCTCGGCCGCACATCTGTGAAGGTCGAGGCCAAACCACGCCGGCTGCCAGTCAGGCCCACGTGCCCGGCGCTGCTCTAGGCACACGACCTGTCAGCAGCCTCTCCAGGCGGAGAAACTGAGGCAGGGAGGGGAGCCCCAGCTGAAATCCCCCAGCTTCCAGGTGGCAGAACCTGTGGGCCTCCCCTCTGCCTATCCAGGTGTGCGCTGGGCCGGTGCTGGGGTGGGGTTCAGGTGGAGGATTGGGGCGCCCCTGCTTTGGATGAGGCCACACAGCCCTGAGGCCCAGGATGGGTTTCTTACCGTTTGTCTGTTCGCGTTGACGCTTGGTTCATCTCACTGTTGGCAATAAAGTTTCTGATTTCAGAGAAATATGAGTCTTCCTTCTCGTCTAAAAGTGCGTGGGTGTCCGACTCGGAGGTGGGGGAGGAGGCGCTGGTCCCCAGGTGGTTCGTGAGGACCCCAGAGTGCTGGCTCACTGTGGGGACAGGGGCATCAGAGGCCGGACCCTGGGCTGAACCCCTCCCCTCCCCTTCTCCACCTCACAGCTCTCCCGCTTGCCCCCCATCTTTCTAGCCCCCACTTCCTGACTCCCGAATCCATCCACCCCAGCTTTGCGGGGCCTGCAGGGCCGGCCGCTGGGGGCGTCCCGGGTGGTCTGCCCTGCCAGCCGGGGCCCCACCTGGCGCGTGCTCGTGCTCATGCTTCTTGAGGTGTCTGTCCAGGTTGGTCTGCTGCCCGAAGCACCGGTTGCACAGGTGGCACTTGAAGGGCTTCTCCTTGTTGTGGATGTTGCGGACGTGCCGCTGGAGGTTGGAAGAGATGCTGAAGGAGCGGTCGCAGTACTTACACCTGGAAGACACGCAGGCCTCAGAGGAGCCGCAGACCCCGCCCTCAGGGGCCCGTGGGGAGACTGGGCCCAGGGAGCCACGTGCAGCCCCCACCCGCAGCCCCGCAGGACTACTGTGCCCCTCGCACTGTCCCAAGGCCGCTGGGTCCCCCAACTTGAAGGCGGTCATGCAGCAGCTGTGCCTAGAAGCAGCTCCGCTTAGAGAAGCAGGTACTCTCCCTGGGACCACTGGGAGGAGAATAACGTTGGGATGTGCCCCCGAGGGGGCGGAGGGGGACCCAGCAGGGCCCGTGCCCCTGGGCGTCCGCTGTTTTCTAGTCCCCCAGCACAGAGGTTGGCTGGGCAGGTCCACGCCGGAGGGTGGCATTCTCCTGGTAGCCTCAAGGGGGCAGCATCGCACCACAGAAAGAGGCTCAGGCTGGTGTCCCAGGAAGCAGGGGCCCCAGGCTCTCCCTGAACCTTCCAGCTGGCAGAGACGCCCCCACCTTGTGCAGGGAGGACAAGGAGAGCTGGGCCTCGTGGGTCCTTGGGCCGGTCCCGTCTCGCTGGGGACCTCAGCTCGCCAATCCATGGGTTGGGGGCTGCCCCAGAGGCCCTTAAGCATCCTTAGCTGCCCTGAAGGTGTGTGAGGGCTCCCCAGCCTTGCCCCTGTCAGACCACCTCCTGTACACGAACCTCAAATGACCACACTTTTGGTGGGGGGCAGCTAGCCCTGCGTGCCCAGTTCATCTGTGTGCCCCTCTGCAGTGGGCACCAGCTGCCAGCCTGCACTGCACATTTGGGAAAATTAGAAGGCGTTCCTTCCTCGGGAAGCTTCCATCGCACCTGTCAGAGTGTTTTCCTGACATCCCGAGTTTATCTGAACTAAGTGCTTTAGTGCCAGGAAACAGCCGTGGTGAACAATCTGAGACACCAGCAATGTGACCATCGGTGTGGGGCGCTCATGCTCGGAGGCCCGAGGGCGGGGAAGGGGAGTGTCATTCTCCCCAGTTTACAGAGCGCGACCAAGGGCCAGGGCGGAGCAGCACAAGCACCAGGAAGCAAGACAACCCAGCCGGACACAGAGAGGGAGTCGGAGCCGGGAGGGTGACGAGGAACCGGCCACCCCGGGCTCTGCAGTCCCATGCTGCCTCCTGCTGGTGGCACAAGGCCAGGCCAGGCCATGACCCCTGACGGACAGGCGCTCCCGCCGGCTCCGTGTGCCCACGTGTGTGCATGCACACCTAAGCACCTGGTCTTCAGAGCCCCAGGTGCACACGAGCACGTGGAATGCTGACCTGTGCTCGTGGAGTTTCCTGTGTGGAAACGAGACCGGCCTCCCACGCAGCAGGCAGGACCCCGGCTGCCCCGTCAGTGCAGCCAGTCTCAGGGGCGCACTCCCGGCAGACAGAGTCCATCCACAGGGATGTGGCCGGCCGGCAGTGGGACCTACCCTGAGAGTGGCCGGCTGGCATTGGCCCAGGAGGGCCCACCCCACCCGACGGGCTGGTGGCTGTGCCACTGCACTAGTGGTCCTGTGGAGGAAGGCAGCCTGAGGACACTTCGGGAGCCCTGGCCTCCCAGCGGGGCCAGGCCAGCAGGGGCCGCGTCAGAGTGGCCTTCACAGAGCCACCTCCCCGGCACGTGGGGCGCCTGTGCCTGACACTTGCCTTTCAGAGGCCTAGCCCTGCCCAGGGAGTCTGTCTGAGCCACCACAGCGCACGCCGGCCCCCCGAGGAAGCAGGAAGGGTGAGCCCCCGACCGCGCCCCAGTCGCCCCGCCCAGGAGCTGAGCTTTTCTGCTTGGAAGGGGACAGCGCTAAGAAACCCCGTCCTGGGACGCGCAGAGCCTCTGAGTCAACGCCTCTCCCCTCAACCTGTGGGATACAGCCTGGCCAGTTCCATGACAGACAGTGGGGAGGCCCGGGGAGACCGGACCCCCGGGGCCCCCATGGCGCCACTCTGGGCTTCCTTCATTCAGTTCCAGAAGCTTCCAGTATCTGCCTGGCCTTCTCAGTAGGTGGGCAAAGAGCCGCGGGGGCTACACAGGAACTCCTTGGGCCACGGTTCCAGGGCTCCTCCTGGTGGTCCCTCAGCCTTCTCCGCTCCCAGCCTGGGCCTCTGGGTCCTGGGCCTCCAGGGGCCAGCTGAGCCGCCTCTGGGCCCCCGGGAACGTCGGGCTTTGGTCCCAGCCTGTTCTCTGGCAGCGTCATGACCGTCAGTGGCCCCAACTTGGACCCACCACCCTGGAAGACCCCACCGGGAGGCAGTGTTGTTTTGCCTTTTGTGGCCCGAACAGTGGAGGCGTCGGGCCGGGGTTTGAGCCCTCGCTGAGGCTGAGCAGGGCTGCTCAGGGACCCGCTGACCTGGCAGTCCCCACGCAACAGTCCAGGGAACAGGACTTTACACCCCAGAATGCACCCCAGACCCTGCCCAGCGCATCCCTAAACTTACATGCCCCCGTCGCCCTGATGGTGCCAGGCTCCCAGGCTAGTCCTGTTCCTCAGGGTGGTCGCTTAGGGGGGGGACCCAGTACAAAGCCATGGTGACCCCCCAGCCCGGGTCTGAGCACTCACCCTGCCCAGCCAGCAGGCCTGCCCGCCCTCGTCTCTACTGTGCTCATGTGCAGTGTCCCTTCCTTGTTTTGGGACATGCTGGGTCCTTTGACAGGTCCCCCCTAATGGTGGCTGTGTGACCTCTGAGCAGCGGGGACCCTGAGTGAGAAAAGGGGTCGGGTAGGGAGCTCACTCGCAGTCAGGGCTCCATGAGGAGCCGTCTCCAGCCTCTGTGTGGCTGGAGGGACCGGGGAGCCGTGCCTTCAACTGGGTCACAGGAAGCCCTGCGTGTGGCCTCCCTGGTTCTAATCGAAATAAATGGCCGAGGCGGAGAAGTCCATCAGAAATTTAGGGGAGCAGTGAGCCCAGAGCTCGAGGGAGCAGGGCTCCGCGAGCAGCTGGGGTTTGCATTGTAAATAAGCTGACAAGTGGCGAGTGAAATTTATGGCCTCCTGGTGTAAAACAACACCGCCAGGCTCCACCAGGAAGGAGAGCACAGACCAGGCTGCCTGGCGGCATGTGGCTGAGGGCCTGAGGGTACCTTGCTGTGACCGCTGCCACCGCCCCCAGGGAAGCCAGCCGCAGTGGACACAGCACAGGGCAGTCCCGGGAGGGTGAAATGGTGCCCGGGCAGCGTCCGCCCCGGGACCCGGCAGGGACACGCCTGCCATCACAGGGGGGAAGGCTTTGGCAGCTGTAAAAGTAGGGGACGGGAAAGACAGAAGAGATTTTGAAATCCAGCCCTAAAAATAAAACTAACGAAGAAAGAGGACCACCTGCTGGCCCTGAGCAAAGTGGTAACTGGACCTGGCTGGGCATTTGGCTTAACCCAGACAGCAGGACAGGAGCCTGGGGGAAAATGAACTGGGACGGAGGGCGTGTGTCCTTCGGCGAGAACCCCAGGCCCCCAGGAGCCCACAGGCCAGCCCACAAAGCTCGCACCCAGAGTGTGACTCAGGGCCCCACCGGGCAGCAGCCTGCGCACAGCTGCAGGACAGGTGAAGAAAGCAGCCCCTTCACTCCCAATTCCTTTTTCTCTCTCGAACCTAATCTCAACAGGCCCTCCACGCTAGAGCTTTAAGAAATAAGTGTCATGGCTGCACCTCGTCCTCCAACCTGACTCGGATCTCTAAGCTAGAAGAAGCCGTCAGTCCAGGCAGGAGGTCTGCCCTTCCCTCCAGGAAATGTACTGGCCACACCAAAGGGCTTTGGAACGCTTTCTGAGTGATTTTAGATGAGCTGGGCTGAGGACCTCAGAAGAGGCATGTCCCAACGTTGTCCAGTGTGACTACCAGGTCACTCTGGGCAGCCAACCCATGAAAAGTCCGGCGTGTGAGGGAGACGTCAGCTGGCCTCTCTGGCGCACCCGGAAGCGGTGCACATGGGCACTGTCCCAGCAGGGCTGACGCAGGCAGGTGGCGGGAGGGGGGCTTCAATCAGCCTCCTGGGGTGGGCAGGTCGCTTTGGCAGGGCCTGTGCCCGGCTCAGTGGGTTTCTGTGGACCAAAGTGTGCATTTCCTCTTCCCACTTAAATCCTTTCAATGATCAAAGTGCTCCCAGAAAGCCTGGTGATGTCACAGCAGAGTCACACCCTCAGACTCCTCATCACAGGGCTGCCTTGAGCCAGATAAAGTCAGGATTTGCAAAGCAAACTTTCAAAGCAGTTATTGTTATGCAAGTTGAACCTCACAGATTGGCGAGAGCAAAAGAAATCAATGATAATCAAATTCTCCTATAAACACTGGCGTGACCCCCAGGGGTTCTCACAGGGACACTGCCCAGAAGTCGGCTCTGGTTACAGAAAAAACACATGTGGGGGGGGGGGCCGGAAGCAGGCCAAGTCAATCTTTCTGTTGCTAGCCTTTGTTAAGTTGTAATTCAGTTCTTGGAGGCACAGGGGTGCTGCTGCACTGACCAGATAACCGATAAGAAGCATGAGCTGTCATTTATCCAGCAGGACAGGACGTGGCCCTGGGGTGGTCAGGGGACGCTTGTTATGTCTCTGGGTGAGGCGTTGGGGACCATGACACCTGCAGGGGCCACCCTCCCCAGGGGTGGGGGACACACTCACAGTCTCTAGGGCCAGTGGGTGACTCCAAGCTCATTGTGGCCAGATAGAGTCTTATGCTACCCACTTAAAACCATGCCAAGCTCCCTATGCCCAGACACACCCCGAGGTGTCCTGGCCTCTACGCCAGCATCTGCACGACTTGCCTCACGGTCACCACCACTTGGGGCACTCATCTAAAATGCCGACTCCCAGGGCATCACCTCAGCCCTTCCTGTGCCCCACGCGGGCCCCAGGGAACAGGACCCGCTGCTCCTGGAGTCTGATGGTAAGCTCATGCGGCTGTGGGCGCGGGGGCCAGGCAAGTCACGGGAAGTCTCTGAGATGGAGATTGTGCCCCACTTGCTGTGAACGTGAGATGCAGGGGCTCGCTTCTCTGCCCAAGCGTTGAGGGACGAGGTGGGGAGCAGACACCCGGCTTCTGTTCGGGGCTGTCAAGGGGACCACAGCGAATCCCTCGGGGCACCCCAACCCTGGGCTGGGACCTGCATTTGCACGGAGCCCCTTCCCCACTGCCCACCCTGCCTCAGGGCCTGTCCTGGTCCATCACCCGGGCTGAGGCCTGCCGTGGCCACTGTGAGATGAACGGAGTTGGGCTGGTGGGGGTGACGCTAAGCCTTCTCCAACAGACCACCCCTGGGGCCCTGGCTCTGGCTGGTCCTGCTCTGAGCCTCTGCCCCAGTTGACACCCCAGGAGCAGGAGGGAGAGCTGCTTCCGGGCGTCGTCCTCTGTGGGCAGGTGGGAGTCTTCCGGGAGCCTGCCTGGCACCTCCTGCCTAATAGTTACAATATCCCAGGGTGCAAGATGGCGGTGGGGCCAGGGGGTGACAGGGAGCTGGCTCCCCCGCTGCCCTGACTTTTCCCACCTGCCTCCCCCAGCCCAGGTCGGGCGGGTTCCCACCTGTATGGCTGCTCCCCGGTGTGCGTCCTCAGGTGTCTTGTGAGGTTTGCAGATCGAGGGAAGATCTTCCCGCAGTACCTGGGGTGGGTGGTGGGGAGACCATCAGGCAGAGGCATAGACTCGAGTGCACAGGTCCTTTCCTGGCCCAGCCCCCAACTGGGTATCTGGTCCCCGAGGCCCCACACCTGGGGCAGGTGGCCCGGCTTTACATCTTGATTTCAGTCTCTCCTGCAGCCTGGAGGCTCCGCTGAGCTTTACAGGGAAGCCTGGCATTGTGCCGCTGGGCAGACAGACCGGCCTGCTCTGGCCCGCTGGGGCCCCGCCCCCTCCCTTCCCCAAGCAGCATGTCATCCCTGAAGCCCAGGGTTCTGAGCTGGACCGGACCACGCTGGACAGGCCAGTGCAGCGGGGGTCGGACAGGGTGGTGTCTTCCCAATGCCGGGCGTTCAGTCCCCTCCTTGTGGTTAAACACTGACCCCCACGCCTCAGCTCAGGACTTCCAAGGTCCAGCTGGCTGGGCCAAGGTAGCATTTTCTTAGGTTGACACAAATGCAGCTCGGTGAGGGGCAAGGGGAGGTCCACCCTACACAGGTGTATTTGTGGATAATGAACTGCTTACTGCTACGACGCTGTAAGCTGTGACTGAGGGTTTCTTCCTGGAAGCGCAGGTTTGCAGGCTGCCGTGTGTCACCTGTGGCCACCTTGCCCGGGCCACCCACCAGTCACCAGGGACTCGCCGCACCTCACCTGCACGTGTATCGCTCTTTGCCCTTCCTGAGGATGGGGTCCGAGAGTGTCGGGGGCGGCGACCGGAAGTTGAAGGGGTGGTGGGGGAGGGGCTGCAGGGAGCTGCCCGAGTCCGCCTTCATGGCCGCAAAGCTCTCCAGCTTCTCTGCCATGTTCTCAATGGCTGACATCTGTTGGTACGAGAGTGGAAAAGGCTGGGGGACTTCCCTGAGCCAACACCTCTCTTGAAGAGTGTGGGCCCACCCCAAGGGCACCTGGGGGTCCTCGATGACAGAGCACATCAGCGGGCCAGGCCAGGAAGGCCATGTGGCCCCTCAGGCTGTCATGGGAACCAGCAGTGTCACCACATCTTCTTGGCCATCAGGCTGGATTCTTTCACTTCCTGAGACCAGCCCTGCTCCCCAGACCCCCGCCCCCCCTTACAGCCTGCGGTCCGGAGCGGGCGCTGGCCTTCAGCAGCCCGCCTGCCTATCTGGTTGGACGGGACACAGTGATGCAAGCATGTGATTCCACACACCCTTATTTTAAAACAAGCCAGCAACGTCCCACCGCCTTGACCCCTGGCCAGCACCCCTGGATGTCTAATTTAGGTTAAAGACAGAATTATATTAAAAAAATTTTTTTGAGTCTTGAAAAATTAAGGTAGGTACTTGAATCAGGTTAAAGCGTGGATCACGGGCTTGAGGCAGCACTGCCATCTAGTGGCAGCAGGCCACAATTGCAGGCAAAGTACTAAGAGTCAACAGCCGGAGACTAGACCCCACAAACTAAATGCTCAAGATGCAAGTGCCAGTGTGACACGGCACAGGACACGGTGATGTGGACAAGGAAGCTGTCTCTCTGCTCCTTGGAGATGCCAAGGGCTTGCTCAGGGAGTAGAAGGTGGTGTGACACTGGCCATTATCACCTGGTGGGCAGAGTTCGGATCAGAATCCCAGCCTGTGCCTGTCCCCTGAGGCTTGGGGACTTGAGGACAGTGGAGGGAGGGGCGGATGGAGCTGCAGAGGCCTCAGCAGCACTTCCCTGTGTCCTTCCCTGGACAGAGGGGCTGCCCGGAGAGTGCCCGCTGTGCGCTGGGCCCTGCGGGAGGCGGGGTGGGGGCCTGGGCAGGAAGCATTTTCATTATGATCAGAGCCCATTGGGGTGTAAGTTGGGGATAACCAATTGTTTTACAATAAAAACACCCAGAAAGGAGTTAACAAATGGAAAATGGTGTCTGCCTCTATGGCGGAGGCCTCCCTGTGACCCAGGGCTGCCACCCTGGCCTTGGCCGGCTCTGCCCCGCCGGCAGGGCTTCAGGCTTCACCACCCATGAGGCAGGCACGTTCTCCCATCAGACGCTCGTGCTTCCTGCCCTGGGCTGCCCTCCCGTCCCCGCTGACAGACAGATGCAAACTGTGCCTTCAGCGGCTGCCCAGCCACTCTGGCCCCTCCAGTCTCATAACAGGAACCCCCAGAATGCAGACTCCTGCTCACCTGTGGTCTCAGTTTTAGCCACAGTCTTGGAAGTCTCGGGAACTCTCCACCACCCCAGACTACCCAGGCCCCCCAGAGGTGGTGAGGGGCCGTGGCCCCCTGCACCCCGGGGCTGCCCACCTGCATGCCAGGCCTCAGAAACGAAAGGCACTGGCAATGTCCTGCCTGGCACCTGACCAGCACAGTCTGACTGCATCTACAGCAGTGACCCCAGACGTCATAGAGGCTGTCAGTTATCTGGCCTCTGATGGCCTGACCGCAGGCCATTTAATTAGGTGACTCACTGGTCACCTCCCGTCACAGCCCCACCTGGCTCTGGGCGCAGGGCAGGCCTGGTGGAGGGGGGGGGCTGACAGGAGGGACAATGGACTCTCTTCCTCAGGCCTGGGTGGGGCTCAGAGGACGCCACAGGTCCGCCTGCTCGGCCATCAGATATCCCGGCCTGCTGAGCTCCCGCACAAACACAAACACAGGATGCGCCTGGCTGGCTTGTTGGCTTTTTCCAGCCCGTCCGAGGAAAATTAGGGGAAGTTGTTACCCAAACTCCACGGTCCCAGTGAAACAATGGGAGGCACTAAGTTTAGCTGTGAACCCAGGCGGGTGCGGGTTTCACAGCCTGGGGGTGTCTGCCCAAGGCGGGAAGCTCCCAGAAAGAGAACAATGCCCTGTCTGGGGTCTGGGATCAGCCCGTCCCACAGCTCAGGCCCCTGGAAGCTCTAGGTGAGGGGGGAGGCCTGTGGCTCTGGGGGGCTGGGCCCCAAGCAGTGAGGACAGGTGGGCATGCGGGCGGGGAATTGGGGAAGGCTCTGCTGGGCCCTGCTGCTCACCCCCCAGGAGAATGTGGCCGGAGGGGGACACACGACTGCGTGCAGACTTGGGGGTTCTCTTTCCCAGACCCCAATTCTAGTCTGGCTGACAGCCTGGCCCCGGGGGAGGGCGCGCTCCCTGCCCCCACCGCCTGGGACCCTCTGCCCTCGATGCCAGTCCCTCTGCTGCCCCTCTGCCCGCCTCTGCACGCAGCCAGGCTTCTCCTGGTCTTCTCACCGACGCACACGCAATGCCTGTGCGCACCACGCCTCTGGGCCGCGTCCTGTCTTGCCCCTCACATTCAGCATTCTTGGATTCACTGCGCACTCACTCTGCCCACCCCCCTTGGCGGTCCATTCCCCACGACAGCTGAGCCATGGTCGGTGGGCCCTCCCTGGGCTGGGGTCCTCGGCCACCCTGCAGTGGGGCCCTGTGGGGTCTGGGGCGAATCCTGGGCATCTGATGAGCAGGGAAGCCGAGGCCTGCTTTGGCTGTGTGGCTTGGTCTGGACGGCGCCTCGGGGCTCCACGCCCTGAAGAACCCGGCCCGGCCCACGGCGGGTCTCACCTGAGGGTGGAAAAGCAGCGGGGACGGCCGCAGGTACTTCTCTTTCAGGGCTCCCACGGGGTCTGGCACCTTCCGCTTCTCTACCCTGCTGGACAGCAACACAGAGGGTTACGTACCCCACTGAGCAGCCCCGCCGGGCTCCTGCCTGAGCCCCATCAGTCATGCGGTGGGAGACCTCACCACGGCGGCCCGGCCTCCACGGCCCCCACACCCCCAAGTCTCACCTGATGGCTGTGCGGACGTCTAAGACCCGGCCGCCCTACTGCCTGCGTGACCTGGCCGGCTGCCTGCCGAACACTCGCTCTGTCCCCCTCCGTGCTCCCCATCACCGCAAGCCCAGTTCTAAGGTCCCCGAGTCTCCCTCGGGTTCCCCCAACCACCTCGGCTGCGCGCGCCGTGCACATGTCCATGCTGGAACCTGGAGTCTTCTCTGGAGCCCTATGTGCACCAGCCTCTGCCAACTGGCCTGCCAGCCCTGTGAGGGGCCGACCCTGTCGGGGTCCCTGCCACCCCACCCCACTTCCCTACCCCTCCCGGCCTTGGCCTGGGGCTCTCTGCCCGGCTGGGCAGGTAGGTGAATGTGAGTGACCGGTGGGTTCCATCCTGGGGAAGTTTTTTTTTTTTTTTTTTTTTTTTTTTTTTTTTTTTTTTTTTTTTAGCTGAGCCATCCTGCCACCTGTTGGCAGCTCAGCGGCTGCTCAGCTCGGGCTGGACTCGAACCGCTGTTGCTCAGAGCTCAAACCCTTGAGCGAGCTCTTAACCAACTGAGCCACTCGGCCGGCCCTCATCCTGGGGAAGTTAACAGGGCCTCCAGGCAGGTTCCACCCCAAATTTGTGAAGGCTGCTAGAGATGACAGTTCTAGAATGTTTCCTAAATGCTGGTGACAACTGTTACTCGCAGGACAAGTGAAGGAGGTGGCCAGGGCAGCGTCCAGCGATGCCTCCTCTCACCTGAGCCCCTCCTCTCACCGTTTCTCAGCAGCACCTGTCTCATCTCCCCCGACGGACTGAGATTTAATCTCCTTTGGGGAGACCGGCCACCTCCCCACACCGACACAGCCCCTCTGAACGAGCCTGGGACCAGCCGTTCCTGCCTCGCTCGTGCGAGGGCCTGGCTCAATGCCATGCTCACGTAACTCTTTGGCGTCACTCTGCTCCCCTCGGGGAGCAATGGGGGGGGGCCAGTGATGGGAGCAGGAAGGGGGATGGCCGCAAAGAAAAGAGGCCGAGGATGGGAAGACTGCACAGCCGCCCGGAGCCCCAGAGGCAGGAGCACCTGGCAGCTAACCCCATGGAGACCCTCAGCCCAGTCCGAGAGGGCGAGGGCAGGAGCTGGGAAGGTTTCCCTCCTGGAGGAACAAATGTCTGGGGGTGGTCATGTGCGTGTGTGGGAACCGGCTTGGAGGGTGTCCCACTCTGCAGGGCTTAACCGAGGCCCTGGTCACCGCTGGACTGTCGGACCTGGCCCTCCAAGGAGACACTGCAGGGTGACAGCATGCTCAGAGCAGTGGGACCCACACGGGAGGAGGGCAAGGGTTGTCTCCATCTCGTCTGCCTTTTTTGCTGATCTCTGTGTCACATGGTGGTCCCACCAGGCTGGTGGACGGTGGGGACCCCCGTGGGCACGCTGGAGGGCAGAGCAGGAGACTGCCACCTTCCCCTCGCCGGCACCTCTGTCATCATTTCTCTCGTGTACCTTCAGCAGGTCTGACCGCCTCACCTGCATGTCCATCCCAGGCCCTGGCCGGCCCTCGGAGAACAGCAGGAACAGGGGCCCTCGAGGCGGCCACGTGCCCCCTGGCTCCCTGAACCAGTGCGTGCAGCACACGCGTGCACCCTTGGGACTCACAGAGGCACGGCCTGTATCCGCCGCAGCCGTCCGTGCCAGCACCTCCAGGCTCCGTCTCGAGCCCACCTGCCCACGTGCACAGCCCTCTCCTCAGGGTCCAGCCTGCCCAGTGCCCCAAGACAGGTGATAAAAGTCAGACCCCTCCCCTCTAACAAACCCGTCTGGTCAAAGCCTGCCCAGAACCTGGGGGGATTGAGCCGGCCCCTCGCTGGTGGGATCCTGATGTTTGCACCCCTCCTTTCTTCCCCCCCCTCCTCCCCACCCACCAGAAACGCCCCGATGTGGCTCCGAACAGCAGCCACAGGGAAGCAGAGACACTGCGGGCAGAGGACGGGGCAGGAAACAGAGCGAGGATCTGAGTTTTGGGGGAGGCAGAGCTGGTCCAGAGAAAACAGATGGAGGCGCAGGACGGGCTCAAGGCAGGGCAGCGGGTGTCCCAGTGGCTGTCAGCAAAAGGGGACCGCGTGTGCCCAGGAGACCCCAAATGCAGCCTGGCCAGGCACTCACCCCAGGAATGTGCCAAGCCAGGTGTGCTTGGGCACAGAACCCCCCAAGAGCCTAGGCACCCCCATGAATCCAGCAAAGGCTGTGAACCTTACGGGGAGCGTGTGGACGTCCCCTCCCACATGCTGACCCCGCCCAGCTGCCCACCTGGGTGGTGCCCAGCAGGTGAGGACGGGGCATGTTAATACCTGTAGATGGGGTCCATGAAAAAGGGTGACGGCTTGGCGTAGTGCAGGGAGGGCTGCTGGGGCAGCGGTGCCGGGCACGCCTTGGGCAGCCCCTCGCCAGCCCCCAGCTTGCGCTCGCCGTAGATGTGGTTCTTGCGGGGCTCCCGCCCCCCGCCGTTCTGGCTGGCTCGGACGCGGCTGCCGATGCTCAGGTCCAGGGGCTGCTCCTCGCCGGGCGCCAAGGGCGGGGCGACCTTGGATGCGGACAGGACAGGCTTCGCCTCTTTGGGTTTGGTGGTGAGATCGAAGGGGGACTCGGCACTGGGGCCGCCCGCCTTGAGGGCGTCCCGGGGCGACTTTGGCTCGGTCTTGACCAGCAGGTTGTGGGCCAGGGTGCGGTCCGCGAAGGGGTAGAGGGAGTGGGGGAAGTTGGGCAGGAACTGGAAGGGGAACACCGAGTGGTACGGCAGCGCGCCCAGTTTCTTCTCCTGAAGCCCCATGAAACCGGGGCCGAAGTACTTCTCGGCAATGGAGGCGATGGCCTTGATGGAGTCGCCCGCGGCCCCGGACGCCGTCAGCAGCTGCTCATCCGGCGGCGGGAAGAAGGAGTGGTGGGCGTAGAAGACGGGCACCTCGCCCACGCTGTTCGCGGCCCCGGGGGGCGCCGTGCCGCCCCCAAACTCGGGCTTGCTCTCGGCTGCCTTGCTCTTGTCCTTGGCCTTGTCGCGGTCGCTGTCCACGTCGCTGTCCAGGTCCGAGCCCGTGCCTGTGGTCGTGTCCAGGTCCGTCCCGGTCGTGGTGTTGATGTCCTCAAAGTCGCTGCCGTCTGACAGGTCGCTGCTCCGCGTCTTGACCTTCTCGGCGTACGTGTCCTCCAGGCGGCCCTCAAACTTCTCCTCGGCCCCCGCCACCGCCGCGGCTCCCTGGCCGCTGTTGGCCACGGCGGAGACCAGGGGCAGGGCTGGGTTCCCCATGGGGCTGGGCAGCTTGGCATCCGGGGTGTGGTTCAGGGGGCTCTTGAGCAGCGGCGTGGGAGGTAGCAAAGGCGGCCGGGGATACAGGGACGGAGGGAAGATGCCCGGGAAACCAGGCGTGAGCGCGGGGAAGGCCGGCGGGGCCGCGGAGAAGGGCAGGCTCCCTGGGTGCGGCCTGGAGGGGAAGTACTCGTTGAAGCCCAGGCCGGCGTGGTTGAGGTTGGGGGGCGGCTTCGCCTTGTCCATCATGGGACTGGGCGTCAAGGGCAGGCCCGGGGAGAAGATGCCGCCCGGCGTGTAATGGTTCTTGCCCTCGCAGAAGCGCCGGTGCTTGTTGAGGGAGGAGGTAGTGCTGAACATCTGCCCGCAGTCCTTGCACTTGATCTGCGTGCGGCAGTCGGCGTGCATCCGCTTGTGGCGACACAGGTTGGAGAACTGTGTGTAGGACTTGTGGCAGACCTCACCTAAAGCGTCAGCGGGAAGCGAAGACAAACACCGTATGAAATTACCGGGAAACCCTGGGCTCAGGGCAGTGGGCCACGGGGCCGCTTCTGGCCCCGTGATCAGAGCAGCCATGCTCATGTGTGTGAGCACACGTGTGCACAGGGGCACACGTGAATGGCCATGTGTGCAGGCATGTCTGCATGTGTGTCCAAGTGTGTGTGTGTGTGCATGCACACATGGTCATGCGAGCACGATATATGCTCGCATGTGCGCACGTCTGTAGGCACACATGTGTGTGAATGCATGTAGGTGCACACACACGTATGCACATGTGCATGAGTGTGCAGTCTGCACATGTGTGCATACGTATGTGCACACACGCACAGGTATGTGTGCATCCTATCCTCCGGTGACCAGCAGGGATTGCAAGGACCACCTGTCCCTTCCCTGGGACCCCCAGGCTGGCTTGGGCAGCTCTCAACCGTCTCACAGGGAAACAGGGTGCTGCATCGGTTACGCTGCTCCAGCATGTGAGAGGAGACCCAGCCACCCAAATCAGATCTACTTTCTAAAGAGTAAAATGTCCCCAGCTACCCTGTCCCCTCTTTTGGTCCCAGGCCCTGTTTTCTGCACCCAAAAGAGGGGAACCAGCCCACTGGGGGATTCTTAGGGAGTCTGGGCAGTGTGAGGTCACCGTTTGGGGGTGGCCTGAAGGTGGGGGTGGAGGGAAGCCCCAGGCAGGGCCGTGCAGAAAGGGGCTGGGTCCACGTTTCAGAAAAGTGGAATCTCCCCAAGTGGGGGTGAAGAGGCAGCACCAGGTCTTGCTGGCAGACACCAGTCTCTGCTCTAAACAGGAGAGGGCAGTGCCGGCCAGAGCCGAACTCCGGGACCCAGGGGACCCCGTCTCAGCCATTTCCCCAATGGCTTGTGAGCTGAGTATCAGCGAATCGCCAGCCTTTCTTTCTCCTGTTTTTCTAGCAGTGGGAGGAACACATACGCACACCCACACCCACGAGTGTCTCTCTGCAGGACAATTAGGGTCCTAAATGCAGCCCAGGTGGAAACAATGGTTTCAGCGTGTTTCTTGCTCACCACAAATGGTCGGCTGCCTGATGTCATGCTATCCTAGCTGGGAGCTTTGGCCCTGAGATTATCATGTTCTTGAATCACAGTATCTATTTATATGAACAGCTCTGCCTTCCTGGTTATCTGGCCTGGAGGGGCGTTTTCAGGGCCCAGGCGGAAGGACGCAGCCTCATTTAATCCAATCTGCCCCTTCGGGCGGATGCTGGTACAGAGGTGCTGCCACAGTCTATAAATACCCTCAGGCCTCCCGACCGGCCCTCAGGGGAAGCGAGGTTGTTCCTCAGCTCAGGCCTGCCTGGACAAACGAGTGACCTCGCATGTCCCCAGCCCCCAGGGGGCTCTGTCAGTGCCTCGTTAATGGCCGCTGTCATCCTGAGCTTGGAAGCGTGCCTGGCCTCAGGGGTCCTGGGACCCTTGGTTCCCACCCACCCGCTCCCACGATGGAGGGCATCTGCTGAAATGTTGGGGCTACAGAGAGGCCTCCAGGACAGTGGGGTTCAGAGGTGCAGGTCCTGGATCGGGACGGCCGGCAGCTGGCTCAGAGCTGGGAAAAGGAGGTGGCGTTAGCAGGGGCTGGGAAAGGCCCTGGACTTGGGAACCAGCACCTGATGGGAGGGTGTCCCCGGGTCCTGCCAGGAGGCAGGGGGGGCCTGGCCCGTATTCACCCCATGAGCAGTTGCTTTTCCTTGTAGGGTATGTGCGTGGGTGCACACACCCACACTCACTCTAGAGAAGGTCCTTTTCTGAAAAGTGTCCACAGGGAGAGTGCCGCCTGTGTGCCCATTCTCTCCGACACACCCCCTGGCACACACTGTAGCTCCCTGGCGCAGGAGACATGATGAGGAAGTGACACTGCCTTGGGCAGTGTGGTCGGCGAGGCAGGGGCTGGGGGCTTCCGGGCAAGTCTTGGTGCTGACCTGTGGGGGTGGGCGTGCAGCCAGGTGCTGCCCCGCGGGGCATGCAGGTCTGTGCCCGCCAGTGCCTGCACGGCTGCGAGCCCGCGCTCCTCTGAGTGGTCAACCTGCTCTTCAAGTGCCCCATCTGCACTCCCCTCAGGTGTCTGCAGAGTGTCCTTCCATGCCTGACCACGGTGTCTTTACCATGGGCCACAGGATGCCCCGCTGCGGTCTGGGGGACTACAAGACCCTACTGCACATATCTCATCTGATTTCTCAAATCTGTGTCACCTTATCGGAATGCAGTGTGCCCACACGCAAGCTGGCCGAGTGGGGCCGTTCTCTCTCGCTTCACCCCCTTAGCCAAAAGCCAAGGAACCCAGGTGAGCGTGGAGCAGACAAGAGGTAAGATCTGCTGATGCACTGTGGGGGCAGTGGGAACAGTGGGCGCCCTGCCACCCCCAGAGCTCTGCGCTTCCTGGAGCTTATGTGATTCACACGATTCAACGAGACTTCACAAAGCTGCTTTGCATGCCCAGAAAGGTAGTAACTTTGAAGCCTATGTGCAGTTTTCCTGCTTCTAAGCTTGCTGAAAATCTCCAAGCTGTTACTGGATGCGCTCACATGTGCCCCTCCCCCAGAGGACTTGCTGGGACGCTGTCCAGGGGAAGCACGGTGGGTTGCACCTCTGGCTGCAAAGCCACAGCCCCCGCCTCACTCCCACAAGCTCGGCTCTTCCCAGCCCCTCCCAGAGGCTGTGGGCCCCGCCCTGTGCAGGGCGGCCGGGCTGCTCACGCCACAGCTCAGATGCCCTCTTTTCCAGAGCCTGCGGGTCGCAGAGGTGGTGGAGGGTAGAGACGATACTAGTGGACTTGGCTTGGCCAACAGGCCAAGTCTTTCTCCCTTTGCTTCCTCAGCTCTGGGAGCAAATGACCCAGGTAGGTTGGGGTCTGAGTCACCTCTAGCAGGACAGCTGGAAGCTTGGGTTGGGGGCAGTGGTGGGTGGGGACATAGTCCGACAAACGCGTGACTGGCCAGTCAGCATGACCTCTTTGGGGCAGGTGTCCAATGCTGAACAACCCCCACTAGGGGGAGAACACCCCAACCCCAAGTCCCAAAGCTCCCAGAGTCACCACCCCTCACACTGATGCAATGGAGCCTGAGAAGTCCCAGGCCACTCAGCCCAGGGTCAGGAGCCAGACCCCGGAGTCAGCATGCGGGCTGTGCGCCGGGACCCCGGCTGTCTGGAAGCCTCCGTTTCCTTCTGTCAGCTGGAGACAGTGCAGCCCCCACTCCCTATGGGTTTGTAAGGATGCCATGAGACAGCGTGTGCGAGCGCTGACACAGCACTATCACGTGTGCCATGACCGCTCACTGCACTCCTAGGCACGTAGGAATCTCCTGGGTCACAGCCCCGGGCTGGCCCATAAGGTCCCCTCTGTAACGTCTGAGCCCCCTCCGCTCACTCCCCATCATCATGCCTCAGACACACCCGGCCTCAAGGCCTGTGCCCACGGCCCCCGTCGGAGCCCCCCGTCCAGGTGCCCCTCAGCTCAGTCCCTGCTCTGCTGCAGTGCCTCTCAGCCCACAGGTGGTCCTGACTTCCCATCGCACTGACAGGAACAGTGCCTGGCTGGCCAAGGCCCTGGCACTTGGAGAGCCGCCCCCCACGCTCACGTGCCTGTCACACACGTCGTTAATGTTTATATGGCTTGGCCTCTGTCCCCTCCATCGCTGGGGAAGCTCCACCAACACAGGCCCATTATTTACAGCTGAGCCCCTGCCACCCGGACAGCGGACAGCGCTGCACACACAGCTGGGCTCCCCCGAGGCTGCAGAGCGCATGATACCAGGACTCAGCAAGGGCCACGGGGATTATCACGCCTCCTGGCGCCCAGGTTGGGTGGGGCAGGGAGAGCGGCCGCTGGGATGGTCCTTCCCACCACCCGTCACTCACCACCCACCACCCGCCTCCGGCCACTGCAGGGACAAGTGAGGGGAGGAACCAAGGAGGGTGCAGCAAGAGACAGTCACCAAATGAGAGGGTGTGAGGGGGCAAAGTGATGAAAAGGTGGGCTTTCCGTGGCAGAGGTGTCAGCCGCTGCCACGAGCACTTTCTAGAGAAACAGGGGTCTTGCCAATGCGGGAGAGCCTGCGGATTTCCTGCCATGGCCTGACCCCCCAAAGCACCCTCATGTCACACTGGGAGGCCCAGCTGGGGGACGACTTACATATGAAAGGTTTGACGGTGCTGTGGATGTGTTTGTGCTGCTTGAGGCCGGAGGACGTGGCGAACGTCTTCCCGCAGTCTGGGCAGGCGTGGGCCCGGGCGCCGACATGCTGGGAGCGGATGTGCCGCTGCAGGTTGCTGGGGTCCGTGAACACCTGGGGACACAGACGCTATTGGCTGGTGCCTGTCAGCCTCTTTCTGGTTGTTGGACTGGGTCTCACTCGCCGCTCTGCCCCCTGCCCTGAGCCTGGCTGGGACAGGTCTCTGCTGCAGCGGTGACCCCCTGGGTGGCCTGAGAGCTGTCAAGGCTCCCCCAGACTCTGCCCTCAACAGCAGCTCCTGAGAGAACTGTGGCCATGTGGCGTGAGGATGTGCGAGGCAGCAACTCAGTGGAAGTGCTGTGCTCGTGCTGCTTGGGGTTGGGGGGCTCCCCCCACCAGCCTCTCCTTCCACAGGGCGGGGCCCTAGCCATCCCAGCTGTGTGACCCAGGCTTCTCAGACACTTGCTCTTGTATGGAAGCGACAGGCGCACGTGGGCACGCTACCTTCACGCAGTTTTCACATTCGAAGCGCTTGCCGCTGTCGTGGGACATCTGGTGGCGGATGAGGTTGGACTTCCAGTTGAAGGCCTTGGGACATTGGTCACACTTGTACTCCCGCTCCTCTGTGTGGACGACCATGTGCTGCTCCAAGCTGTGCAGCGGGGACAGGGGTCACTGCAGGGCCCGTCTGCCCACCCGCTGCCCAGGGGTGGGGGACTCTCAACCCAGCATGGCCTGTTTTCAGCAGCCCATCGGAGCCCCCCCACTCCCTGGTCAGAGAGCAGAGTGAGTCCTGGCATGTGTCCCACCTCCCCTCTGGGCAGGTCAAGGGGATGGAGGGCAGAGGGCCTTCCCAGAGTGAGCTCGGGCCCTCATCCCAGACCAGCCCCCAGGGGGTCCCCAGCCCACACACTTCCAATCGCTCTTGTGGACAATCTTGACCTTGAAGCCAACCTTGGGCCTATGCGTGAAGGGGCCCAATGTTCCATGAGCCCCAGAGTGGGAACGGGGCCCAGGAAGCCCAAGGCCCCGCTCTGAGTGTCCTCAGGGTGCTCGCCGGCCAAGCCGGGCTGAGCGCCTGCCCGCCGGGCATGCACAAGCAGGTCGGCGGGGAGTGACGGAGCGCGTCTCCAAATGAGATGTGATGGGTGGCGAGCACGGCCTCTCGGGCGGGGCCGTGGCAGCACGTGGGTGAGCGAGCAGCTCTAATCCCTCCTCTCGGGGGACACCCTGCCTCGCCCCCTGTCCCAGGTACACCGTTAATCTTCATGAGCAAAGCAGTAATACATCACGGCCCGTTAATTACGGGCCCAGCCAGCCATTTAGATCAGAAACGCTTGGCTCTCGAACACCCGGCAGATTGTATCTTTTTCCCTGTTGTTAATTGTGATTTATGTGTTTATGTAAAGAAAACACGGACCCTCTTGAGCAGCGCTTACCGCCCAGGGCCTCAGTCGGGATTTGCCCAAACGCTTACTTCTGTCATCTGTTCAGGGTGGAGGGTTTCCTGCCCCCGGGGAGGCCACCGTGGGCTTGGCGATCAATCCCCGCAATCCCACAGCCAGTTAGTGACCCGATGGGTCTGTGCTCTGACTTTGCAAGGCTGCCCCGGAGGAAATTCTCAAAGGCGGCGGGTGGGGGCCCATGCTGGAAAAGTCCTCCTGGCTCCCTGGAGCACAGGGACGCCATGTTCTGGCTCTTCCCCCACAGAGCCCTCTCTTTCCCAGGGGTCCTCGGGGAACCTCCAGCTCCCAGGTCCTGCCTGGGCCCGGGGCAGGGGAGGGCCAGCAGGGGCCTGCTCCTGCCTGAGGGTGTCCAGCTGGCACTCTGTGCTCATGTCTGTGAGGTGTCCAGGACAGCTGGGTGCCGCCTGTAGGGAGCAGAAGCTGGTGCCTGGGATGGGGGTGGGGGGTCCCTGGGTGGCCCTGCCCACCCCTGCCCACTGTCCAGAGGGCCAGGCCACTCCACCCACCCCTGGACAGGGGCACGGCTGTTGCCCCACTCTGGTTTCAGACCTTTGCATAGAAGCGGCCCCGGGGCCTGACCCTTGCCTGTCTCCTGGCCTGCGTCTCTTGACTTCCTCCCCTTCTGTCTCCCCAACTCCGCCTGATGCAGGACAGCAGGCCCAGCAGTGTCTCCCCTGGGCGACACGTGAATCTCCCAGGGGTGGAGGCTCCGACCAGGGACCTGGCCTTCACGTCAGAGCCTCCCATGACCAGTTCATGGCCTGCTCTGTCTCCAGTGTCAGATGAGTGGGTGGGGTACCTGGCCCTGGGGTGCACCACACGGGAGGGGACCCCGGGCCTGTCAGGGACAAGGGCTGGCCTCTGCCCGTCTCAGGGCTCCCTCTGTGTTCCCAGCTGCTCCTGGCTGGCTGCCTGGAGGGCGGGGCGGGGGCGGCACCTGAACTTGCTGGGGAACATCCGCTCACAGTCCTTGCACTCGTGGGCCTGCCCGTCGCCGCCGCCCAGGCCCTCGGGCTTGAGTTCCTCGCCCAGGCCCTCGTACAGGGCGGCCCCCGCCGCGCCGCACGCGTACTTCTTGTGGCGCCGCAGGTCCAGCTTGGACTGGAAGAGCTCGTCACACACGTCACAGCGGAACGTGGGCTCCTCTGCAAGAGAGAGAGGTCGGGAGGTGGGCGGGCGGGCCCCAGACCTGCCCCAGAGCCCAGGGCCTGTGAGGGGCTTGCAGGGAGACTGGGGGGGCTGCCCCCGCCTGGCTGTTCCGGCTCCTGCTTCCTTTCTGCCCTCATCCCGGACCTAGGAGTGGCTGCCTCGCGGGACATGGAGACCACAGGGACCCCTTGTCTGCATCGTAAGAAACACTGAAGAACACTGGGCCCCTTCCTGCGTCTCTGGAGGCCGCTGTGGGCTCGAGAAGGCCCCGCGCTCGGGAGCGAGAAGGAAGCCAGGCCAAGCGCTTTGTTTATGAATTAGGAGAAAAAGGACGACAGAGCTCTAATGCATATCATAAATTATTGCGTCAAGGTCAAACAAATTAAAGGGGGGGCAGCTATTATTAAGTTTACGAGGCGGCATCCTGACTGGCGTGCCAAGGCAAACAATCAGGCCAGAGCTGTCAATTTCCTGGGGGGACAATCTCCGGCCCATCCCAGGCTCCCCCCTCCCGCCTAGCGGCTGCCTGACAACAGCTTTCCCCCAGAGCGCTGTCCCCCTGCCCCCACCCGAGGAGGGCCCTGCGTCTCACCCAGGTCTGCAGAGAGAACGCGCACTGGAGCTCTTGCACAAATGAACTGGTGTGCACGTGTGTGCTTCCTGTGCACGGGTGTGCAGCTGTGATTGTGTGCATGCTGTGTGCATGGGCGTGACACCGAATGTGCACGAGTGTGAATGTTCACGCATATCGGCATCCATGTCTGTGCATCTTTGTGCAAGTGTGTCAGCGTTTTCGTGCATCCACACTCATGCTTGTACTGGTGTGCATATGCACTCATGAGTGCACATGAGTGAGTGTGCACGTGTGCTTCTGTATGTGGCTATGTGTGTGAAAATTTGTTTGCACAGTTTCACCCTGTGTGCATGTAAGTGTGCCTGCGTGTTGGACATGTGTGCACATTCGTGTGTGTGCTTCCTTTGCACACGTGTATGTTTCTGCGTACACATGTGAGTGCACATGTGCTGTATGCAAGTTAAGTGTACACATTAGTGTGCATGGCTGACCATGGGTTATGTGTGTTGAGTGTGCACGTCTTTGTGTATGCATATGTGTATGTGTGTGTCTTTGTGCGCATGTGTGAATATGTGTTTTTGTGTGAACGCATGTTTGAGTGCGTGTGCATACACACAGGGGCGCCTGGGCCCAGCACTGAGTAGAGCCTTAATAACTTGGGCTGAGCGCTGCCTGACCCAGAGGGGTGCAGGAGACAAGGAGGCAGGGGAGATGGGGGCAACACAGGGGGGCTGCCTCTAGCCCCCTCCTTGTGTCAGAGATACGCCATAAGTGTCTCAGACTGCAAAGGGCGGTGAGCAGCTGTGCAGCCTGGGCAGTGTGGGTTAGGTGGGCGGGCTGGGAGAGGCAGAGCCCCTCCTCGTGACCGGACACTTCCCTGAGCTCCAGGGTGGGGCACTGGTGGGCATTCCCACTGGTGGGCCCCTGTGTCCTTTCCAAAGCCCAAGGGGAGAGGCCTGCAGGAGCTGGCTCTGAGATGCTCGGCCAAGCCCCTGGGCATTGGACGACACCCTCAGAAACACAAGCACCGCCTTGCCAAATGTGACTTTTGTTCATGTCTTTGCACAGAGGCAGATATATGGATGGCAGGGAAGGGCTGCTGGCCGAGAGGAGCCCTGGGGACACGTGGGGCATGTGCATTTGGGAAAGTCCAGGCAGCCCCAGTCCAGAGAATCAAGTTACGTGCCCAGCCCTGCTCTAGGGCCACGGCCGTGGGGGCAGGGGCCTTGGCCTCCCGGCCTCGGCAGGCTCTGCCCGGAATACCTTCTGGTCACACTGCCCCTGAAACTCACCCCAGACACATGCTGAGCTGTAACAAGGATAGCGGTCCACACAAACCAGAGACCCAGATGAAGGCGGCAGGGACGGCAGCCAAATCACGACCCTTAAGTGTTTGCAAACACAGGTAGGACCCTCGTGTTCCTGCCAGCACAGAGCAGCTGGCCAGAGGGACAGGGAGCTGTGGGGCCTGTGGCCGGCTCAGGAGCGACTGCAAAGAAGGTTCTACAACTAAACCCACCACCTAGGCTCTGGCTGGTGCTCAGGGGCCAGAATGGAACCCCAGCCACGTACACGGGATGGGGAAGTAGGCAAGGATGGTGCGTGTTACAAAATCATCACCCTGACGTCTACAGAGCGCTGCCTTTGACACAGAGTTCCAGTGTGCAGACTGCAGGAAAAGTGTCTCCTGTGAGGGTAATGTGAAGAGTACTGCTGCCACCCAAGGTGGCACTGGCCTAAGAACTTCACGGCATTCACACATCTAAGCCCCGGATCAATCCACGCGCACCCAGCTGGGGTCCATGCTTACGCCTGCTTTACAACTGGTAAACTGAGGCCTCTAGAGATTGAATAACTTGCCCAGGGCACCCAGTGCGACGGCAGGGCCGTGTAATTGCAGCCTTTGCCCAGGAAGCGGGCAGCTGAGCCCCTACTTCCCGCCAGCGCAAGTGACGTGCGCCGCGCGTGGTGTGCAAGGGACGCACTGCGGACCCCCCTGCAGCCTTCTTTGTCTTTCGAAAGGGTTCCCTGTACATCTGAGCACCAATGGCACCGTTTTAGAACACGGCCGGATGCTCAGACCCCACAAAACTGCTCCTGTGGGTTCATCCTGACTTCCTGGGCTGGCAGGAGGCTGCAATGGGCCCTCCCACCAGCGTCACGATCAAGTTAGAAATGCCAGTTCGTATTTTACTCTTTCTGGACCCAGCTAAGAACAATCACAGAAGTTGTAATTTGAAAACAAAGACAAGAAGAAATGCCAGCCCCACCCATCCATAACTCTGACAAACTGATTTTTCCAGTTTTGATCTGGAATTTGGATTCAAAGTGAAAATTCAGCCTGATTCTCACTCTGACGACATTTGAGGGGGCCTGGAGGTCATAGAACCAACCGTGGTGGTGAACGCTGCCCTCTTCCCACACCTCCCATCCCACATGGACCCACGTTTGCCCTGGGTGAAGGACAGAGCCGGGAACAGGACGTGTCTCAGCCTCGTCCACCCACGCTGTGGTGTGGACAGGTGTCCCAGCCATCTTCCACACAGGTAAGGCTGGCACGGAGTGCCCACCTGGGGTGAGCTGGACGAGGCAGGGAGGAGGCGCATGGCCCACGTGGTTTTCCTTGTCCCAGCATAAGCATTTTAATATTTTTAATAAATACTAAAAGAGTACATTACACTCTTGTTATTTATATTGGATTACCTCATACTGTATTGCATTATGTTATATTGTATCATATCGTATTGTCTCTTATTATGTCGGCCTCATATGCTTTAGACACAATACACTTTTCTTGGAGAGGGAAAAGTTAATAATTTTGAGCCGTTCTCAAAGGAAAGCATATCTGAATGGAAATGATTTTCTTCCAAGAGCAAGTTCTCCTGAAAGAGAACTCTTTTCCTTCTTCATTGAAAGAGTTAAAATAAAACATCGCTGGAACCATGAACTGGAAAGTGGCCCCTCTGCTCTGAACCACTGGTAGGAAAGCCGGAATCGCATTTCTTCACAAAGCTGCAGCCTCGAGAGCGCGTCCAGCCCCAAACCATAGGGCCTGGTGCCCTCCGTGCATTGGCAAACCCGGGCCTCCATGCCTTCTGTGTCACCTCAACGGTGTCCCCGGCAAAGCCCCTGCCCCCAGCAAGAGCACAAAGAATTGCAATTCAGAACGCACTGTCGTCCTCTAAATCGGGTGGGGGTGCGTGGGGGATGCGGCTGGAGCCAGGGCCCAACTTCCCCCCAAATCGAGCTAAGCCAGCGTGGCAGCCCCACCCACGTCTTGCGCGTCAGATCTGCGGCTCGCTTGTCTATCTGAAGTCCCATCAGCAACTTTTCACGGCAGAGCAGGAATGCAACAGAAAAATAAATAAGTGCCTAATGGCTTCAGCGAACCAAGGGGGACACAATTATGTGGCATCTACATGCTAATCTACCAGACGAGGCTCAAAGCGCTCGAGAGCCCACTCCAAATTCCTGCCGTGATAAGGGGCCGCTGCATTTAGCTGGGGCTGGGATAAAAGATTTTTTATGATAATTATCTTAGTGAGGAACGTTTTTGCGTTTTCTTTCTGTGCGATTCAGAGTTTAACTGGGGGGGCGGCTGTTGGGAGGCAAGGGAGTGATCTTGACAGCAGAGAGTAGGAAAAGTCAAATATTTGATGTTGGGCTATTATGTGTGGAAAGCAATTAGCCCACAAATGTTTGATAAATTATTAGGAAAATACAGACCCAGGTTACTTAAGATTGGGGGCCGGAAGAGAGACAGGAATCAAGGTTTTTAAAAACCTTTTGGAAGAAAGAAATTTCATTACACAAATGAGGTCCATTGTCCAGCACACTCCTTGAGCTAAGTGGGTTTATCTTTCGGCGTTCTCGTGTGTTATCTAAATTCATAGGTCTTTCCCACAATTATTTTAAGGAAAATGAGACCATCCCCCTGCTACCCAGATCTCAGCCATTTATTTTTCTTTTCTCGATGGCCTAATTAAAACCAAACTTCAGAGGGGAGTACAGATAGCATCCGGCTTGTAAAATGGTCCTTCTGTGGCGACTGCCTTTGGAACAACTCAGGGACACGGGCTACAAATGCCAGTGCCGAACTGCTGGCCATGCTGGGGATGAAAAGGGTAAATTAAGGCAGGACGCTCTGGGTCTGTTCTCGGGGGCTTCTTGGCAATTCCAGTGCCAGCTCCCTGCCCAGCCGATGCCGCTCCGTGCTGTGACGTCGGAGTGGTTCCTTAGCGAAACCTGCAGTCAATGGCGATCACCGTGAAGCTATGGTGTGTTTGGAGGAGAGGGGCAGAAAGACGGAAGGAGTCGGAGACGGCTGGAAGGGGAGACTGCTTTTCTGTTCACTTGTGGGGTCTCATTCAAAGAGAAGAGGCCATGGGCTCAGCAGCGGCTCTGGGGTTAATGGACCAATCCTCTGGGGCCCCACGCGGCACCGCGAGCCCCCCTCCAACTGACTTTCCCTGCAACCTAAAGCGGCTCCGGGTCCCCAAGGCGACTGGGCACTCTGCTTAACCATGTGGACGAAGGGAAGCACCCTGTGTCTCAGAAACCCTAGTCTGTCTCTGGCTGCAACTTTCTGACGCTTCCTCTGAGCTGTACTTGGGTGGATGGGCGAAGGGAAGCGAGCCTACCGCAGATGCTGGGTGAGGAGAAGTGGCAGGGGCGCTCCGAGCTCCGGCGGGCAGCGCGGCTGCCGCCTGTACCCCTGCGTTTCCCTCTCACCAGACACACTGTCCCTTAACATTTTTCCTGGACTTGTTCCTTTTGACTACAGGTGGGCACAGATGCTGCCACTGCCCTTTCCCAAACGGGACTGAAACTTCTCCCACGGCACAAAGCTCTCTCTTGGAGGGCGAGTGTTTCCGAGCCACTAAACTGTTTTTGTTTTTGTTTAAGTATTGGGGAGAGCAAGCAATGCTGCTGCTAGTAATCATCATCATCATCATCATAACAATAATAATAAGCACATTGTAAAACACCACCGAGACTCTACCCCGGCAACACGACACCCATGCCCCCATACTGACTGGCGTCCTCTCCTGGCCTGGGGGGTGGGCCTCCTAGAAACCAAGGAAGAAGGCGAAGGGCTCAGATTGGGAAGGTGCTGGGAGGGCGCTGGTTCGGTGGGCCTGGGGTCTGGGCAGCGGCTGGGGGTGCCGGCCCCCGTCATGCAGTATGAGGCGACGGGAGGCCTTGGGACAGCCAGGCCTCTGCGCCTGCTGGTGGGGGCTTACCATCCAGACTGGGGGGCACCGTCCCCAGGGAGTAGGCGCCTTCCTTCACGTGCACCAGCAGCTCTTGTCCTGGCTCAATGTCCTTAATGACTTTATAATAGATCTAGGATGGAAAAACCAGAGAGAGACGGTAAGCGTTGTCATCCTTGTCGCCTCGAAAGCCACATTGTGCCCACCCAGCCTGCGACCCGCTGGGGCTGCTCCTGGGGGAGGCAGACCCAACGGCCACTTGACCTGCCTTGTAATTGCTACAAAGAGGTCCCCCTTTGGAATTTTCCAGAGTACGCTGGAAAGGACCATAGCCCCTTTTTAATTTGTTTTATCCAGCTTTTGGAGGTTGTTAAAGGGGGTATAAAATTAAATTGGTGAGAATTAGCTCCAAAGTTCCCCAGCAGGGCGTGTCCTGGCGGGAGATATTGAAAGGGGGGCTCTTTTCATCAGGAGCAGGCCCCGGGCGATTCCTTTTGTCAGTGTGTATGTAAGACACCCTTTGCCACTGGAGAGGGGCTTGGGTCGAGAGTGCGGTTCGGTGTTTATGACAGGCCCTGTGGACCAGGACTCAGGCTGCAAGTCTCATGTGAGCGTGGACGCCATCTGAAAGGGGACATGGAGGGGGGCATGTGCCTGCAGCAAACTTGGTGCCTAGTGGCCGCTGGGGGTCTGAGGTGGGGGACATCTTTGGCAACAGGGAGGGTGGGGTGGAGCTCAGGATGGATTCTGCAGTTCCGAGGTCCAGGGGGTCGACTTGCAGTGCCCAGCCTCAGTCCTCTGAGCAGTGCTGCCGCTTGCTGAGGAATCTCCCGGAAAAGGACTGTCTGCACTGAAGGTGGTGGCTGCGATCTGGAAAACTCTAGCAACTCCGAAGGGCGGGATGGCATGAGTCCCCTGGGGGAGCCCAGGGAACTGCCACAATGGCCTGGGCAACTTCATGAGAGCTGGGCCTGCCTTGTCTTTGCCAGAGCCTGCCTGGGAGCCCCCTGCCCTCTGCAGAGACCAGGGGCACATGTCTTCTGGGAGGGGGGTGGCCACTCGTCATGTGAGCAGGGCTGTACCAGTGCATCCTGCAGCTTAAATCTGGAAATCTCAGACAGGAGGGTGCGTCTTTAGGGCCAATCTACTTCCTATCACCTGGCACGTGGGTGTTTGGGCCTCTGTTCAGAGAACAGTAACCAAGGAGCTTCCTGGAGCCTGAAGGCGCGACCGCAGGACTGGCTGGGAGACCTGAGACAGACCCACGTGTCCTGGGAGGCTCAGGGCCAGGCTTCTCCTGGCAGTTCCCACCCCGAGGTCCTCATGGAGGACCTGAAGGACAGGTACCCGGCCAGGCTTCCCGGCAGCAGGGGACATAACTCGGTGGCCCAGGGAGGAGCTGGCACATGGCCTGCCCGCCTCACTTGCTCCCTGCCCCACCCCGGGGAACATCTGGAAGGCTGAGCTTCCGGTCACTTGCTGGGCCCTCCCCCCTTCCCAGGCCGCGTCCAGCTGTGAACTCTCACAAGCGCCGGTCCCAGCTCCAGAGCCACAGCAGCGCGCTCTCAGCCGGACACACGGAGCCTCGCTGCATCCGCAGCGCCCGCCTGGGTGTTATTCCCAGGACAGCGCAAGTGCCCGCGGCGGGAAACCTGCCCGGCACAGACATCTCCTTGCTGGGTAAAGCTCCCTTTCCCTGTCCTCGTTAGTCATTTTGTTTGGCAATTATTCTCAGGGACGGCAGTAAAATGATGGTGAGATTTTAAAATGGAGAATGGAAACCTGACCATATTAACTGCTGTAATTAAACCAATTGTTATTAAGATTTCAGTTTTGTATGATTTTATCTAAAAATTACACAATGGCTGAATCATTGTTTAAAAAAAAAAATCAGGCTTGAGTTGCTATTTTTCAAAATCGCACCCAACGTGCATCCAAAGCTCCAAGGAAGTGCGGAGGCCCGCGGGCGCCCGGGGCTGCGAACCAGCAGGAGCAGAGCCGGGCAGCCGGTGCGCGCCCCCAGCACTTCCAACGCCGCCGGCCGCGTCCCTGCGCTCGGGCCGGGGAGCCCCCCGCGAAGGGGGGGGGCTGCAGCGGCCGCCGCGAGGGCTTCCCGCGGGTCCCCGTTAGAGGGCAATGTGGCCGCGCCCGCAGCTTCCGTCCGCGCCTGCGCCCCCCCTGTCCCGGGACCCGGGACGCTGAGGCGGGCGGCGCGCTCTGACCTGGCGTCCCGGCTCGGCGCGCGGCTCCGGCGGCCACGTCCTCCCGCGCGGTCCGGGCTGCTGGGCTCCTGCTCCGGCCGGGCTGGCGGGGGCTGCGTGCGGCCTGCCTGCCTCCTCCGCCTCGCCCCTCAGACCCACTCGGGGGGCCACCCGGCCTCCCGGGACCCCCCCACCTCGCCCTCCTCTCGGGGGGCCACCAGGTCTCCCGGGACCCCCAGCCCGGCACCTGGGGCGGCTGGACTCCCTCCCTCAAGGTCCAACGGACCCCCGGGGTCCCCCCGCCCCTCACACCCCTCCCTGCTCTGAAGGCTGCTGGACCTCCTGAGACCCCTCCACACCCACACCCACACCCCCACTCTGAGGGCCGCGGGGCTCCCTCCTCCTGCGCCCTCCGAGGCCGCCCGGCCTTCCGGGGGACCGGCCCTCCCCGGAGCCGCCCGCGGGGGTCGAGTGCGCTCCGTCGGCTTCGCGGAGCCGTTGGGGCGCAGCGGCGGCCCCCTGCCCGCCCCGGGACCCACAGGACGGCCGCCCGCGCGCCTGGCGGGGGCGCGAGCACAGGACTCGAGGGCGGCGAGCCGGCGGCCGGGCCGCCTGGACTTTGAGCCGCGGAGGGAATTAATGGCTATTAGTGCTAATCGCGGGGTGCGGGCGGGGCGGGGNACCAGGTCTCCCGGGACCCCCAGCCCGGCACCTGGGGCGGCTGGACTCCCTCCCTCAAGGTCCAACGGACCCCCGGGGTCCCCCCGCCCCTCACAGGAGCAGCGGGCCAGGCGGGAAGGGGGTCGGCGCGCCCTCCCCGGCTTGCGGGTCCCGCCTCGCCGGCCGCGCGGAGGTCCGCACGGAGGCCGCCGGCGCCACCACCTGCCCCCACGGCGCGAAGGCCTCGTCACGCGGTTCCCGGTCGGCGGGGCCGGGCGACTCCCGGGACAAAGGCCGGGCGCAGGTGGGCCGAGGCCCGGCCGCCCCGGCTCGCAGGGCGGCGCACGTGCGCGCCCACGTCCTCGGGGCCCTAGTGGGTGACCGCGGCCCCGCAAACACGCCTGAAGTCGGGCTGTCGCCTTCCTTTCACTGTGCGCGCCCGGGTCTTAACCAGACCCCGGGGCCAAGCTCGCCTCGTGGGGGCCGTGCGGGGCCGTGTTCACGAGCGGGGACGGGAGTCCGCGTCTCGGGGGAAAGACGCCGCGCGGACACGGGAGGGAAACGCCCGCATCGCGGCGCCCGCGCCTCGCCCGGCCCAGGGTGTGCGCCCCGCGGCCCGAGCTGGCGTTCTCCTCCGGTTTCAGGAGCGGAGGGCGGGGACAGCCGCTCCAAAGCCGCGTTTACTGGCCCCGATAAATGTCCGCTGGAAACGGCTTGGGACGGGCCGGGCCCCGCAGACCCGGGCGGCAGTGAGTCCTCGCTTCCGTCCGCAGAGCCCGCGCGCGCGGGAACGACAACGACTGCACGGAACACGGGGGAGCGCAGCCGGGTCCCCCGCGCCCTGCCCACTCGCCGTCTCCCCTCTGTCACCCTCCAGACACAGAGAGGGCCCCGCAGGTACACAGACACAGACGCGGCGACAGGGACGAGTCGCCCACGTTCGCAACAGAAGGCGGGGAAGCGGCCGAGGGGGGCTGGATTCGGGCAGAGGCCGCGCGCGTGGCCCGGGCCTGTTACGAACTTCATTATTTCCACCAACAACGTTCTTCAAGACAAAGAAATATTTCAAATTTAACATGGCTATCAGTTTGGAATACTTTCTCCTTAGGCTTCCTTTTTATTTTTTTAACATCAAATCAATTCCCAAGGATAAATATTATTTTCCAACATGAACTCTTGAGTTGCACATTTTTTATTTCTACTTAACCCTAGAATTTAAAAATACAAATGGGTGAAAACCTGCATCCCAACTGCCCTGGGTGGAAACGACCAGATGACGCAGACTCTGGGCCAGGGCAGAGTGCAGGCTGTGGCCACTGCTCTCCCCCCACCCCGGGGACAGTTTTCTCAAAAAGGTGAAAGTCATCGAGTGAACTGGACATCTTTGCTCCCCCATTCTGACCAGTTTGAGAAACTACAGAAGTGTTTGAGTAAAAGGTGAAATCTCTCAATGTGCTTAGCTTAAAAAAAATAAATAAATAAAAAGCAATCCCTCTGCATCCCGGATTTTGAAATCCAGCAGTGCTTGAGTTCCGGAAGGCTTCTGGTGCGGTTCGGTTCGTGAGGGGCTTTGCACAACAGGGCAGCTCACAGCCAGGGGAATTTGAAGCCTCCACGGAAACTGCTGGAAGCGATTCCCCTCCTGGCCCAGTCGCCTCTCCCTGTCCTTCTGAGTGAGGACATTGGTCTGAGGTTATGCCTGGGCATTTTTATCATCGGGGACCCCAAAGAGGCTAGGTGGCTGCCAGCACTGCCTCACTGCTTCAAGGACTTTCGAAGTGTCTTCACTATTTGCTGTTCCCAAACTGTGGGCCATTTCTTGCTGAGAAGGGCTGTGGACACGGGGGCCCTGCGGCCGGCAGACGGGTTGAACAGTCAGAGTTTAAAAACCAGCCTAGGCGATGTTCCAAGACCTGCCGGGCAGTGTGCGGGTGGGCAGAGGTCTGTCTTTCTCTTTGCCCTCAACCAAGCCTTCGCTGCTGGAGTCTTCCTCCGGCCTGCTCCGATCGCCTGCCTCTCCAGGGCCGATCGAGGGGACAGCAGCTCTGGGTTGGACCCCATCCGCAGGCTCCAGGACACACAGACAATTCTCTCCTCTGGTCGACAGAAGAGAAGGCTTGTTGTCTGGGATTTGCCATGTTCCTCCGTCCCCAGGCGTGGCTGAAGCAATCTGTGCTGAAATCTTTACCTTTTGCTGCTATATTTTCTGTCACCTTCCCAGCAGCTCAAACGTTAGAAAAAAATCTATACGCTTATCTCTGTCTTAGATGTACACTTTGGACCTGGGTATTAGTCCTCTCTCTCTAAATTATTGGTCACAGTTAATTGTCTTCATCACTCTTAAATGGCTTCTTCCAATAAAGCATTCCATTTGATTAAGGAGGAAAAGATGATCAATTCTGACAAGTGATCACAGCTGGTCTTGTGACAGTGCTGTTGAATTTATATCTTGTTTTTTGCCAAAAAGAGGGTCAGTTTACTCTGAAGAAGGCACTGTAAAATTTGACAGCTTTCGGACACAAAACAAATTTGATATGTTTTTTAAGTCTTTTGTGAACTGATTAGGAAATACCAAATGAACCCCTTGCCCGTCTCATTTTCAAGGGGAAAGTCATATCTAATTGGAATCTACCATTTAAAGTGCCAATTCGCTTACAGTTTTTAATTATAAACCCATGGGGGATGAAAGCAAAGGGAGTCGGGACTGTCCCGGTGACGGGGCAGAGCACGGTGACATAGGTCGGGGCCGTTGTTTAGATCCCAGCCCTGTAGACACGGGGTCTGTGTTGGGGCCATGGAAACGAAAGCAAAAGCAAAACGGCCTCTGCCAACGGGCGGCGCTTGGGCCCGGGAAGCACCAGGTTTTCATTAAAAACCAGTGTTGGCTCATGCACCGCGCTGCGTGGTTATCAGGCGGCTAATCTGCTAATGAAATGCCTTTGTTTGACACGCGGAGGAGGCCAGCCTTGTCTGCTTCCACTTTGGGAGGCTGGCCCCTCACTCGGCCCCCGCAACGTGCTGGTGATGTGGGCTCTCCTGATGCCCGGCCAGCTGGGGGTCCGGGGCCCTGAGCACGTCCCCCAGCACGTGTAACCCTGGCACCATGTCACGCCATCCTCAGCCCCGTGGCCACCTGACATCTCACCACTAGCGTCCTTGCCCTGCGGAGGCCACGCAGGAATCAGAGGGAAAGACTCCTCCCGCCCTCCTGCCGCCGGTGGGCACTTCATCTCCAAGCTCCTGTTTTCTTTCTTAACCCTAAAACCAACCCAGGAACAGGCTGTGCCTGTGTCTCCTGAAACATTTCAAACCAACTCGCTGGCTCATAACTGCAGGAGAAAGAACCACCCAGGGGTGATCCAAGTGTCGCAAGTTTGCAGAGAAGGGTCGGCATTGGAGGACAGTGGGATTGGGGGAGGCAAGGTGGTGGGAACCGAGGCGCCCGTGGCTCCTTGCCGTCTGTTTATGCGAAGCTGCAAAGGTGAATCAAAGCTTCCCAGGCTTTCCAGCTGTGACCTGACCACCCCCAACAATCCCAGAGGCAGACTGGGCTTCTGCCAGCTGTCGGATGTGGACCTCCCGTTCCCAGCAGCCAGGCGCCCTAAGCCCGTGTTGCCTCAGGACCGTCTGTGGGCCCCACGTGGGTAGCAAACCACATCACCTTTTAGGTGATAGGGCCAGGTCCAGGGGGAAATTCAAGGCCCAGCGTGGCCCCTGCTGCCCTGGGCTCCGTCATCCAGAGGCGGACACCAGAGGAGCAGGGTGGGGTGGCAGGTTGTCACCTCTCCCTGAAGTCCCCGGAGAAGGGACCTCTCACAGCCACAGGGTACAAAAGGGGGGGTCTTGTGGCAAAGATGAGAACCCAGAGGTGGGGCTGTGAGCCCTTCCCTGCAGTCCCACAGCCATGGGGACCGCACAGCCTCTGGAGAAGATGGCCCATTTCACGCGGAACCAGAGGCCAGCGCTGCCTGGGAGGGAGGGGTGTCGGGCCCTCCGTGACTGCACCTCCCACTGCCAGGAGGCCGAATGCTGGAGTTCTCCGGGAGCCGTCGGGGCACTTGCTGAGTTCCTTCAGCCCCGCGGTTCACTTCGTCTCATGTCCATCTTCTCACATAGGAACACAAGGCTCTACCAGACCGGCAGTCGTGCTTGTGGGCCTGCACTGTCCAGCGTCTGGGCTCCCAAGTGCCCACAGTGTGGGCTGGATGTCCGGCCACCAGCAGAGGGCCGTGTGGGCTGAGGGGAACCTCGGTTGAGTGGTGACACCAGGAACCACCGTGCGGCCTGAGGAGGTGTTCCCCAGCGGGATCTCCGCTCTCCCTCGGACAAGCTCCAGGCACAGGAATTTCTCTGCTTGGGCCATTCCAGTGTTGCATTTGCTTAAATGCACACTCCAAGTTTCCTCTGAGTTTGTCAAGTTTGAAAGTTCTGTTCTGATTTTTATGAGTATTCCTTTGCTTTGTATCTGCAATATTTTTTGCAATTAGAAAAAAGTTATTACTAAAATAGGGATGATTAACCCCCCCCCAAGGTTGCTTTGGAGAGAAACATCCAGAAGATGAGGAGGAGTGCAAAACAATCATGACATTACTTTTGGGGTCCAGCCAGGTGTATTTCTGACTCTGGGACGGGGCTTCTGAGCGGGTAAGTGCCGGGGCTGAGCGTGGGGCTAAATTAAAGGGATCAGGAGGAGTTAAGGGTTATTATTCCATCCCGGCTGAAAACATCGGGTTGTCAGAAAAGTCATGACGTATTTTTCTATGTTTTTTGTTGCAAAATGCATCATGACTATTCCGACAACCCAATAGTTCTCCCTGCTGGTCCTGACGATGGAAAGAGAGTTTGGACAAAGCAGTCACTTCCATTTGGACCCAACACGGAGGTGAAAAAAAAAAGCTCCTCTGAAATGTTAATACTAAAACAAAGGTGTTTGAAGACAGGCCTCTCTCTGAGAAGAGTACACATCTGTCTGCTTTTCCAAGAGCTGCCGCCTTCAGGGCTTTGGTTCGGTTCTAACACACGTCTGCTTCTTCACTGAAAAGGCTGGATCCTTCGCGATTCTCTTCTGGGTGTCGCGAGAGCACAGGCCTGGTCCCGGCCCCCTGGTGTAGCTTCCACAACCTCGAACACACGCTCTCCGCAAAGCAAGGGTGACGGAAGCCCGCTGTCTATGTGCCTTAACTCAAAGTGCGCTGCCATCTGGAGAAGGACCAGTTCTTTTTTGTTTTTTTTTAAAGTTCTGTTCTAATTTTTATGAGTATTCCTTTGCTTTAAATCTGCAATTTTTTTTTGCAATCAGAAAGAAAGTTATTTTCAAACTGTTGGGTTCTAACTACGAGCCGCAGTGTCCCCACAGCAGAGGCGGCTCCAGCCTCACCGTGTTGGGCACCCGCGTGTGTCTCTCAGAGGACGCTGGATGCAGGCCGAGCCCCACGCCAAGGACACGGAGCAGATGAGGGCGTCGCCTGCTAGCTCATGTGGGTCCCAGGGACCGCCTTCGGTGTGCTTCCGTGCTTTTTAATGTAAAACCGTTTCTCCAACGTCAAAAGCCTCCAACCCGATGTTAATGGTTTGCACAGGCAACGCGAGAATGTACCCTTTGTTATGTGGTCTCCGCAAACATTTTTGAAAGCAATGGAATCCTTTTCGCAAATGGAATCTCATGTGTGACCCTGAGATATCACAGGCATGGAAGCGGCTGGGCCCCGCTCCCCCAGGAACCGGGTGAAAATGTGGCCCGAGGGGCCTGGCTGCAGAGCTGCTTGCAAACTTGTAATTAAAGCCATCGACTGAGCAGCTCTCAGCACTGGGGACACACTGCCTTCCTGGTCCACAGAAACTCTGCATGGCCTCTCCCACCCTCATCAGTGCGGGGGTTTGGACGCCTGCCATGAGGAACCAGGGCCTATGATGCCTGAAGCCCGGGGGGAGGGGGGTGGCACAGACACCCACGGTGAGCGTGTCACCTCCGCAGGCTGGCCTGGATGCCACAGCGGTTCTCAGGGGCTCTGGGCTGCTGGGGCTGTGCCTCAGCCTTCCAGCCGGTCAGCGCTGACCCCCCCTGGAGAGCTGGGCTCCACAGCACCATTTAGACAGTTTTCCAGCACTTGGCGCCTGCTCTTTCTATCTGCCTCCCTGGGGCGGCGCCTACAGGCAGTCTGGGCCCTGGAGCTCTGGGTCCTGTGTGCTCTGGTCACTTTTCTTCATGCGCAGTGTCATCTTGGGCTCTCAAGCCCTGTTAGCCTAGGGGAAGCCACTGACTGAGGCTCTGATGAGGCCTTCGTGGGGTGTCGCTGAGCTCGGAAACTCAGCGCTGACCAAGTGTCAGGCAACAACCCCCACTGCAGGACGGGCTGACCCTTCGCTTTGGCACCCCCCTCCTACCCATCCTGGTGCCGAGGCCCCAAGGCCAAGTCCAGGACAGAACTCCGCCACGTGAGGCCCCTACCTGCTCGTTGATCTGACACATGGTGAGGTTCTGGTCATCGCAGGAGCACGCCACGCGGATGTACTTGAGCCAGCTGCCGGCCCCGGCCTGACTGGCATCCACACAGAACTTCTCGCTGCCCAGGTCTTCAGAGACCTGCCCCAGAAGAAAGAAAACCAAGACGGTCAGAGGCATCCTCCTTACAAGAAAGTGGCTGTTTGGGTGGCGGGCAGCCCAGCATCTGGACGTCGGCTGACCCTCCAGTCAGCAGCGAGGGCCCGGGCCCACCCAGCAGGCGCCCAGGGCAGGGGGAGGGGGCCCTCTTTCTTCTCACCCAGCAGATCGCTGGCCCAGAATGAAAGGTGCCACCAGCAGAAAGCTCTGCAGCAAAGCTGTCCCACGTGTGAGAAAGCAGAGCCACTGGTGTCTCAGAACACAGCCCTCTGCTAAGGAGAGCTGGGGTGCAGGGCTGCAGAAAACCCTTTCGAAGGTAAAGGTGTGGGGTGTGTGGCTGCACACGAGCCTGGGCGTGTGCGTGTGTGCGTGCATGCTCACACCACGGCGCGCAGCGCCCTGAAAGTAAGAGAAACATTTTGTTTTCTAAAAGTGGGAAGTGCCATCTGACTCCCGCAGCCTGCAGACGGGGGCCTCCCTCATGTGCCCGCGGGGGCCACGCAGCCCCTCCTGGCTTCAGGCCCTTTGTTGCTGCTCAGGCTCCTCTTGAAAATGCGCCCACCCGGCAGAAGCTGGGCTCACCTCTGAGCTCCTTCACGAGGGGACCTGACTGCTGTCCCGGCTGAGAGAGGGGCTCCCGAGCCCTGCTGGACCCTGAACAGAAGCTGCGGCTGAGTCCCGCCTCCCGCCTGCTCTGTTCTGCGCTGGCCTGGGGTCCTAGCCAGAGCCACAGGAGCAGCAGTGTCTGGGGCAAGTGTTCAGGGTGTCCCAGCTCGGCCAGAGCGTGCGGGAGGAAGGGGCTTAGGGACCAGCACACTGAGGTCCTGGTGGGCAGGGGTGACGGGAGGAGGGCATCAGGAGGAACCAGTGAAGTCCGGGCAGGGGGCAGTGACCTGTCCCAGCAAAAACAGGCGGCCGAGTCCGGGCACATGGCCTCCACTCCCTGGAGGTTGCCCTGCCCGCCCTGTTAGGAGCTGGGAAGGGACGGAGGCAGTCCCTCGGGGCCTGGAGAAGCCATCTCCGGCCAGAGAATCAGGGTGCTTGCTAAACAGTTCAGATGCTCTGCAAATATCCACGGACACTTTCTAAATGGCCTGTGAGTGAACCAGGAACCAGAGGTTTGGGGGGCCGGCTACTTTGCTGTGGGAGACACAGAACCTGGCTCTAGTCCGTCTGTGCATCCACACCCCACAGCCCCTCCTGGAGTCCATGGCAGCTTCTCCTCTGAATGACAAGTCTCTGAGTGATACACTAGGCCCAGCTTTGCTGACACCTCTGGAGGCTGATCTGGAAAGGGGCTGTGAGCCAAGAGGCCTCAGTTCCGAGAATTCTTCATTTTGGGGGGACTTTAAACAAAAGGGCCTAATTCTGAAAGAGAGGACAGAATCCAGAGGGTCTGGGCAGGACGGGGACAAGAGAAGGGCAGGTGGGGACAGGGAGGAGGGGACAGTGTGGCAGCAGAGAAACTCAGTCTGAGTCCTCAGCTGCGGGAGTCCAGCCCCTCAGGAGGCCAGGCGGTGAAGGAGCCCCGTGGGCTGGCTGCAGAGGGAGGGCCCCTCCCCACCCCAAGGCCCCGCAGGGCCCCCTCCTTCCACCTCCCACCCCAACTGTAGGAAACCTGCTGCAAAAGGAGACCCCCCAGCAAAGCCTGTGGTCAGTGGCACCTGCCCCACTGCCGTCTTCTGTCACAAGAGGGAGAGGGGCTGACTGCTTGGGGTCGGAGCTCCCTGAGGTCCCCACCCCGCAGCCTCTGCACCCGAGGGTGCTGGCAGGGGCAGGGTGGTCTCCCCGTCTCTCACTGTGTATGTGTGTGTGTCTTTCTCTCAGTCACCCCCCTCCCCCAGCCCCCATCTACGGCACAGAGCCTGGCACTTCAATCGTGCTGCCAGCCTTCTCCTGGGGTCCCACTGGCTCAAGGGTGTTGCCTCACCTTGACCTCCTAGGACTTGGGGCCTGTCTCCCCAAGAAGCCCCTGGAAGAACCATATAACGAACAGACGGACTGACTGACTGCTGTCCCACGTGCTCGGGAGCCCCTCCCCTCGCAGCTGGCCCCTGTGTGTACATGCGCAGGACTTGCTCTGGGCGGGAGGTGAAGAAAGGCGGGGCCGAGTGCAGTGACGCCCGTTGCCGCCCAGTTCCTGCAGGTTCTGTGTCACGCAGGGCGGCTGGAAGGCTCCAGGCTCGCCATCCAACCGCACACCCCAGCCCTTGCTTCATGTCTGAGCGAGGCCCCGTCCACCTGCTGCATCACTAGGAATAAGCCCTGGGGGGCAGGCCCTGCCTTCCGGCACCCGCGCCTCAGGCCCTTGCAGGACAAGCCCTGCAGGCCTTGGGACCTGACCCATGTTCTGACCCTTCCCTGTGCCCGGGCAGACGTCTCCAGCTCTCTCCAGTGTGTCCGAGCACGCACACGGCTGGCTGCTCACCCCCACAGGGCACTGTGCTGGGGCCTCCCTCTTGGGGCGCAGGGCCTGGAGCTCCGAGGCCACAATCTCCAGCCCCCTCCCCGCCTGGCTACCGCTCTCTGGCCAGCAGCCTCTGTTTCCCGGTCTCTCAGGAAATGTCCCTGCTCCTCTACCCTGATGACCTGGTCCCCCAGCCCTGTCCATGTGGGTGGTCATGGGGTGGTAGTTATTTCCTAGAGGCTCCTAGAGGCCAGAGGAGGGCCATCCTCGCCGGTGGGCACCCTGGCTGGCTTTCCGGGGTGACAGAGGAGGTCTTGTTTAATTCCTTCCTTCCAAAGAGACGAAAGCTCTACCTCCGAGAGGTGCCAGGCGAGCTGCTGACCCTCTCCCCGGCTCCCTCTCCAGACAACCCCGCTCTCCTGCTCATCCCAGTCGGAAGCCTGGCTCCAGCCGTGGAGGCCGAGCCCTGGGAAGCCCGGTGCCTCGACAGGAAGCTGCCCTGCTGCCCGCTCCCTCTCCTCGGCCTCACAGCCCCCCCACCCCACATCCCCCCCGCAGCTCCCCAGCTTGCAAATCACCCCATCACAAATGCTGACTTATGAAGCAAAGGGATGGAAAAATTCCCTTAACCTTGACAATTTTTTTGCACATCATTTGAGGTTTCCTGCCCTTCTCATCTGTGGGCTCTCCGTGCTGCACGGGCACGGCCAGCCGCTGGCCCGTCCGGGATGAGCCCGCAGCGGGGATGCCAAGGCATCTGTCGTCAGCTCGCCTAATGGATTCCGAGTGAGCGAGGACGGAGCGGCCCGAGGCTGCCCTCCCGGTCCCTGCGTCCGGTGGCTGTCATGTGGCTCCCCAGAAGCCCTGGCACGGTGTCCACTTCCAACAGTGGGCGGGAACCGGGGCATGGTCTGCTCCTGTCACCCTGGCCCCTTCTTTAAGCACCTGACCCACGAGCCCCAGCCACAAAGCCATGTGGGTCCCTTCTGTCCCTCGGCACATGTGCACGTGCGCACACGCCATGGTTACGGTTTATGGAGCCCGCGGAGCTGGAACAGAAAGGCCATTCTTGTGACGGAAGGAGGTGGGGGAGGCAGTCTGGAAACACCTCTGTCTGGGTGAGCTATTATGGGGCTCGGTGCTGAAATGACCAAGCACTGA